ACACAGCGCTGCGCATCGTACCACACCCACCCACCCCCCCGCACGCGCGGTGGGTCGCAGGTGGTCTCAGATGCGGGTTTGAAATAAGCATTTTAAAATGTTTTCAAAATAAGTCTGGCACTTTGGAGAAAATCCAGGACTCACTGGAAGGATTATGTATCCCCTCTGGTCTGGGAACATCAAATTCAATCATCACACGCCCAACATCAAATTTTGTGAAGACAAGCGACCTGAGAGCGCGATTCGCAACGCTGCGATCGCTATCGCGTCCCGTGTGTCGCGTTTCACCCTGGCTGAGATGACAGCCGTTAATCGCTGTAGTTTGTCGCTGCCCGTGTGTCGAGCCCTTTACAAGCTCAGCAGACGTTTCACCAGTTTGTTTGTTAGTTGTCGCTGCCGATAGCCTTCAGGAGTCGTGGAGGGAGGTGTGGAAGCTCGGCTTGGAGACACAGCTCAGAGGAGGAGCTGCACCTAAAAAGTCCAACCAGCCGTTTTTGTTCTCCTGCATGGACAGCACAGGGTTTCACAAACATGCATAAATGAGTCAAAGCAACACTCTGCATGTTTTTGATGTGGAAATGATGTTAAAACATGATATAAAGCTCAAAAAATATTTTACATGATATTGCCCCTTTAATTGTTGTTCAAACAGATATGTACAACAGGTGAGATATTGACTGCTTATAACCTTTCCACACCTTTAAAAATCAGAATTATTTGTTTAACTCGTATTTGCTCTGTAAACAAACTGATTTTATTTTTTTATGTTTTTGAAACCATTGTGCCAAATCAGAATTACAAAATTTAAAATGGAGCAAAAGCTAAGTTTTTGTTTTGTTACATCTGAAGACAATAAAATAAAAATACAGAAAATTGTCCAAATGTTATTTTGTACCTTGCATGTTACTCTTTGAAACAAAGTCAGTAACGCCCTTAAAAGTTACTTTATAATAAATACAATGTATAAAAATATGTAGGCCTAATAATAATTTTTCCTTCATAAATTGTTCCCTTGTATATTTTCAATCTGCTCTCTACTATTTTCAATGAAACCTACTATTTGAGCCAAGCACCCCCCCACACACACACACACAACTGCCTCCCTCAGAAAACTGTTTATTAACACCCACACCAGTATAGGCTTCTACGTGTCTATATTTGGAGTTGTCATAAACAAACAAAAACATGTCATCTCCACGTCATCACAAATAATTTTAAAAAGTGCAGCAGAAAAATACATCAGTCAGCTTGCAGTATAGTATATACATTTATGCAACTTCCTACTCCATAAAGAGAAATATTCAACTATACAAAAGATAAATTTAGCACAGGTGTCAGCCAAAGGTAAAACAAAGGATTTTTTTCCTCTTTTTTTTTTTCTGCTGCGAAGTTGTTTTGAGTCTGAACCCAGCGGTCGCTATGGCAACAGCGGGGCAGAAGATGAGGCAGGGAGAGAGTGGGAGACAGTGTAGAAAACAGGAAGGAGGGAGACTCTGTCCTCCGTGTGTGATCAGGTTATTCTGACATTTGATCTGGTCAGTCATACACAAGCAGCGCTCCTATTAATTTCCCCTGATATTAGGTGCGTCATCATTGTGCAAATCACATTGAATAATCCCAACCGTAATCCGGGATTACCCACTCAAACTCCACCCCCCACGTCCATTGTCCAATTTAAAAAAGAATGGAGAGTGWGGAAGGTCAATTCTAGGGTAGCAAATTCCATCATGACTTATATTCACTCATTTATTTCAAACCGCGTGAGTCATCTTATTAGTCCCTCTCGATCTTTGGTGCGGCTACCCTTCTTCCTCAGGGCCCCGCCCCTCCGTCCCCTCCTCGCTCAGTCCTGCCTCAGAGCGTCATCAGGTTACCACAGCAACGGCCCGCCTATGGGAGACTGAGATCAGATCATTGTGGACCATGGGATCCAAATACTGAAGGGCAGTTTTTTTTTTTAATGAAAATCTTTAAAGCTTGAACTCCTAAGCTACAGAGGCCCTACTAAAATGTACTGATTTGTAAAAATAAATAAAGACAATTATAATGAAAGTGGTGCTGGTTGTTATTAGGAGTTTGAATAATCCACCAAAACTCTCCAGAAAACATAACTAATACATGCTGCATCCAAGCATGCTGCTAAAAATACACCAAGCCACGATTAGCGATGCGAGGTGTCCTTCTTTGAGGTGTAAACACGCAGCCTTTTGAAACGGTTTACCAGGACCTGCCTGCTCGCTGAATTAATGGATGTGACAGACGTGGCAGCGACCGGCCTGCCGAAAGCCCACAGTCAGGAAAACCAAGAGTGCTTTATTTATGGGTTGGGAAATCGAAGAGGGAAAAGTGCACATGCGGTGAGTTCAAGTTTAGAGGCGGAAGCACCAAATACATCAAGCAAACTGTTTTGTTTGATAAAGATCAAAGCGAATTGTTGGGAGCACGAAGTGTGTTTACAAGTCCCTGAATCCAGGCTGCTTCTCTTGGCCCCCATTATTAGTGGGAGGCCGTGTGTGTACATGAGCATATTTGTGTTTGTGCCGCGAGCCCAGAGGGCTGCAATAAGTTGAAGTGACAGTGGGGATCTTTAAATTGTGCTTCAACSTTTGCTGCCAACGGTAGATCTTATCTCAAATTCCCTGTATCCCCCAAGAAAAAGCAGAGGAGCGTAGTAAAGGGGCATACAGATGTATGAGACTGAAAACTGTGATCATGTCGCCCTCTGGTTTGTAAATAGCTTTTTAATTTTCATCTTTTACACTTACAGCCATGTTGTCCTTTTTGGAGCCAGTTTTGATCTAACATGATGAGAGAGGGGGAGGCGTGAATCCTTAGTGGCCAAAAATACAATTTTTAGCAGCTTTCTGCTTAAGATTGGTTTAGTTTTTTATCCCTTTGACCTCAAAGTAGTGGCACAGYGGCTGCAAGCTTCTTGAACCCGTCTCAATTTTGACCCCTCCAACTCGAATCAAGACACTACAGTTGTCTTCTGACACCTTCACCAGAGTTCTCCTCTGASAGAAAACACGTCCAGTACCAAAAACCAAAGCAGTGATAATGTTGTATAAAAGCTCTTTGCAAAATCTGCCCTATGTTCATTTCAAAATTGTTCTCCAACAGAATAAATCACAAACTTGGGGGCCAAGTGGGCCAAAGTGTGCAACAAAATAACGYGGAATACAGTTTTGCACGTGCAATGTCCAAATTTATCAAAAACTGGCCACGG